ACAATCCGGGTCCTCATTTTACCCACCTCGGAAGGATGGAAGGCTGAGTCAACCTTGAGCCGGTGAGATTAGAACCACTGAACTGCAGATAACAACTGAAGTGGCCTGCAGTACTGCACCCTAACCACTGCGCCACCTCGGCTCTTGATACCCAAGCCCAATTCCACCCCAAGGATAGACAGAGGGAGGCTACAAAGTTAGGAGTGGATGAAAATAATTCCATCCACCTTGTGTGTCCTCATCCCATCTCCTCCATTCCCCTTTCCCCCATTTTCTGGCTGGTGATTCAGGTGCCAGAAGCATTGGCGGAGATGGTCTCAGCACAACACAAAGAAAGGGAAGATTTTTCCACTTCTTCTCGGGAGCAGCTGTTTGAGAAGATCTCCAAGGAGGATCCAACTCAAGTCACCTCCCGATGTAAGTGAAGGTATTTTATCCAGTAGAAGCAACAGAGCTATGGCTCCTTTCATTGAAATACATTTCAATGAATTTTTTTTTCCAATCAAATATTTTGTCAGCAGGCAAGAATTTGATAGGATGATAAAGCTCCCCAGAAGATATTCACACAGCTTTCAAATATTCATTTCCAACACCTTTTTCTTGCTCGTAGGGAACGGAAAGGCGTCGGTGGTAATCCCTGAAACACCTCCCATTTGTGATGAAGCAGAAACAGAGTTTGGGTCTCCATCTCAGGTAGGGGACGATTCTTCACAGCGGAAGAGATTTGGGGTGGGGGGAAGTCCCAAGTCCTTGCCATGGAATTTAGAACAATTGTTCTTTAGCAAGGGAAGGTAATGCAAATCAAAATTTATTTACTTGATGAACAGTTTATTTACTGAAATGAAGGCAGCTGGACTGAAGAAGCTTCTTGGATGAGAAGCCAAACATCTTCAATGAAAAGCAAAGAAAGTCCAGTTGCCTTTTGAAAAATCACCTTTGGGACAACCATGAGAATCTCCATAATCATTTACGGAAATAAAATGTTTTTTTGTTTCTTGTCAGCTATAAAAATAGCAAAAAAGCAAGGAAGCAGTTCTTATTACTGTTAAAAAGGTAAAGGTTCCCCTCGCACATATGTGCTAGTCATTCCCGACTCTAGGGGGCGGTGCTCATCTCCATTTCAAAGCCAAAGAGTCAGCACTGTCCGAAGACGTCTCTGTGGTCATGTGGCCGGCATGACTAAATGCCGAAGGCGCACGAAACACTGTTACCTTCCCATCAAAGGTGGTTCCTATTTTTCTACTTGCATTTTTTACATCTTTTCGAAGTGCTATGTTTGCAGAAACTAGGACAAGTTAAGGGAGCTCACTCCGTTATGCGGCGCTAGGGATTGGAACCGCCGAACTGCCGACATTTCTGATTGACAAGCTCAGCGTCTTAGCCCCTGAGCCACTGCATCCCTTTAAGTTAGCTT